TACTTCCTGACCCTGAGAAATATAGACGCCTCGTTGGTCGCCTTGTTTATTTGTCGGTCACTCGACCGGAGCTGTCCTATGCGGTTCATACACTGGCCCAGTTTCTGCAAGAGCCTCGTGAAGATCACTGGAAGGCTGCAATGGGTGTGGTTCGATACTTGAAGGGGCAACCCGGTCAAGGGATCTTCTTATCAGCCAGCAATACCTTGCAGCTAACGGGATGGTGTGATTCAGACTGGGCCGCCTGTCCTTTGACAAGGAGATCCCTCACTGGTTGGTTTGTCCAACTTGGCAAATCTCCTGTCTCCTGGAAAACAAAGAAACAAACGACTGTGGCCCGATCGTCTGCAGAAGCTGAGTACAGAGCTCTAGCCGCGGTCACTTGTGAGTTAAAGTGGCTCAAGAGTCTACTTGGTTCTCTTGGGATTGAACATTCGAAGCCTATGACCATAAAGTGTGACAGTACTGCCGCATTACATATCGCAGCCAATCCTGTTTTCCATGAACCTACGAAGCACATCGAAGTCGATTGCCATTTTGTTCGAGACGAACTACTGCGAGGAGTCATCAAGACAGATCATGTTTCCACTAGACATCAGCTAGCTGATATGCATACAAAGGCACTGGGCAAAGCACGGCTTGAATTCTTGATTCCCAAGTTGGGCATTTCATTGCTACATGCTCCAACTTGAAGGGGGGTGTTAGAGAAGGAAAATGAGTATTAGAATATTAGTTTTTGATTTGTATTAGACTTGTATATGGTAGCTTCCTTTTATTTAGCATTCCTAATCCTATTAGGAATACCTTGCTGTATATATATATTCCCCATTGTATTGTAAATAACCAAGAGAGAATACAATAATTTTTCAGCCCAGAAACACTACTACATAACAGTAAGGAATATAAGTGGTATAACCCTATCAAAATGGGGGTGGGTGATACACGTGTGTTAACTTACATAATTAATCGGGAAACAATTGTAACGATTCATTAATATAAGGCAACGACGTCATTAAGTAAACGTTTTCCGTTATTTGACGGGCACCCCTACCCCAAAGGGCCTAACTCTTTTTGGTCATTTCCGTTCTATCTTCCCAAAATGAACACGAAACTTAACAAAGAAAACCAAATATTCTTGTCATTTCACTTTTTTTTTGTACATAAGAAAATGTCACAAAAAAATTTAAAATAATTAAGCTTGTGTAATTGATATTCATGCTATAAATTAAGATAAAATACAAAAAACTGTGAAGCACATAAATATAACTAAATGCTCCTTCTCACCCTAAATTCTAATTTTTTTTGAATTCATTTTATTTGAAAATGAATATATAAATAAAAATTAAACTTTTGTATTTTAAAATACATAAAAAAAATTCTATAAAAGGTTACCCTAAACGGCCTAAATAAAGGCCCCGTCGCTTTCCGCTAATAACGGGGAAATTCAACAAAAATCAGCTTCAAAAGATGCGGCCCAAAACCCGGCCCCACGGCCCATATTTCCCCCTAACTATATAAATGCGCTTCGCCCGGTTCATACAATTCATTCCAATTCATTGCGTCGTCTAATATAACACTGCTCGGCCCCGGCGTGTTTTAGCCGTTAGGTTTCCGTCACGCACTCCCGCCTTCCCCTCCCCTCACTCAGATCAGATCTGCATGGTGGGATCTTCATTTAACTCTTAGATTTGCGCTCATCTCTGTTGTCTGTCTGTACAAATCGTTTCCATTTGTTGCCGGAAAATCTGATTCTTCTGACCGGCCGGCGTGGGGATTTCCGGGTCGGATCGTTCCGAGTGTGCGACGGGTTGTCTTTTGATTCCGGCGTTTTTTTGCTTCTTTTGAGGGGGTAGCCGGGGCTCCGGCCTCGGCGGGTTCGAAAAGCCCCCAGCTTTACGAAATCGGAGAAAAAATACGTTTGTTTTTTCCGTCAATCTGTAAAAACCAGGGAACCCTTTTTTGTTGGTTCCTGATTCTTTGATTCTTTTTTTTGTTCTTCAAAAGCTTAAAGAATTTAACAGGGGAAGAGATGCCGGCCATAGCGTGTTGTGTTGATGCTGCCGCCGTAGCTCCTCCTCCGGGATATGCTTTTGCCTGGGACAGATCTCTTCCGGCACCGGAGACTCTCGTCTCCCCCGATGCACTTCTGCCGCTGCCGATGAACACGGCAGCCCCCGTCGACATCCCCCGCTGGACTCCCGCCCTATCATCTGCCCTTTACAGGATTGACGCTTGGGGAGACCAGTATTTCACGGTGAACTCCTCCGGTGATATCTCTGTCAGGCCACACGGGGCCGCCACACTGTCCTACCAGGAGATTGACCTTCTCAAGGTCGTGAAAAAGGCTTCGGATCCAAAACTATCAGGCGGCCTGGGATTGCAGCTCCCACTTGTTGTCCGGTTCCCGGACGTGCTAAAGAACCGACTCGAATCTCTTCAATCAGCTTTCAGCTTCGCTGTGGAGTCTCAGGGGTACGAGTCTCACTACCAAGGTGTCTACCCGGTGAAATGCAACCAGGACAGGTATGTGGTGGAAGACATTGTGAAATTCGGGTCGTCTTTCGGGTTCGGGCTGGAAGCTGGGTCGAAACCAGAGCTCTTGCTGGCTATGAGCTGCCTCTGCAAGGGAAGCCCAGATGCTCTGCTGATCTGCAATGGATTCAAAGATGCAGAGTACATCTCCCTCGCATTGGCCGCAAGAAAGCTCCTTTTGAACACGGTGATTGTCCTGGAACAAGAAGAGGAGCTTGATCTGGTGACCCAAATCAGCCGCAGGATGGGGATCCGACCCGTCATTGGAGTCCGGGCCAAGCTGAGGACCAAGCACTCCGGCCATTTTGGTGCCACTTCCGGCGAAAAGGGGAAATTCGGGCTGACCACGACCCAAATTCTGCGGGTCATCAAGCAGCTTGAAGAATCCGACATGCTCGATTGCCTCCAGCTGCTGCACTTTCACATTGGATCTCAGATTCCGTCCACCGCCCTGCTAGCTGACGGAGTAGGAGAAGCTGCCCAGATTTACTGTGAACTGACCCGCCTCGGAGCCAACCTAAAAGTCATAGATATCGGGGGCGGCCTGGGAATAGACTACGATGGTTCAAAATCAACCGATTCCGATCTCTCAGTCGGGTACACACTTCAAGAATATGCCTCTGCCGTTGTTCGAGCAGTGGGGGTTGTCTGTGACCGGAAGGGCGTGGCCCACCCTATCCTCTGCAGCGAGAGCGGGAGAGCCATTGTTTCCCACCACTCTGTTCTCGTCTTCGAAGCTGTTTCTTCGAGTTCTTGCCACAAGAACTCGCTCCACAATCTCGGCCTTCAATCTTTCGTCGAGAAGCTCAATGAGGACGCCAGGTTGGATTACCAGAACTTATCTGCAGCCGCGATGCGTGGCGAGAATGACACGTGTCTCATCTATGCCGACCAGCTGAAACAGAGGTGCGTCGAGCAGTTCAAAGATGGTTCTTTGGCGATTGAACAGCTGGCTGCCGTGGACGGGATATGTGACCTCGTCACGAAGGCCATCGGGGCTTTTGACCCGGTATCTACTTATCATGTCAATCTATCGGTCTTCACGTCGATCCCTGATTTCTGGGCATTCGGCCAGCTCTTCCCCATCGTCCCAATCCACCGTTTGGACGAACGCCCTTCGTCCAGAGGGGTGTTGTCCGACTTGACTTGCGACAGTGACGGGAAGATTGATAAGTTTGTTGGTGGCGAGTCGAGCTTGCCCCTCCATGAACTGGGTGGAGGGGGACGGTACTTTCTTGGCATGTTCTTGGGCGGCGCTTATGAGGAGGCGTTGGGAGGATACCACAACCTGTTCGGCGGTCCGAGTGTGGTTCGGGTTTCGCAGAGCCAGGGGCCCCACGGCTTCGCTGTGACGCAGGCTTCTCCGGGCCCGTCCTCTGCGGACGTGCTCAGGCTGATGCGTCACGAGCCGGAGCTCATGTTCCAGACACTGAAGCACCGCGCAGAGGAATTTGTTCAAAATGGAGAAGGAGCAGAGGAAGATGGCGGGACCGCCACCTTTGCCGGTAGCCTGGCGGCGTCCTTCAACAATATGCCTTACCTTATTGTGGGTTCCTCGTCGTGGGGGTATCATTGTGGGAATGAGGCCGGCGGTGCTTCTGTGGGTGCTTCTTCGGTGGCCTCAGGTGGCGGCGGTGGTGGTGGTGGGGAGGATGAGCATTGGTCTTACTGTGTAGCCTGAGTTGGTTGGTCTTCTTCTTCTTCAATGGTGGCATCTCCAGCTTTTCCCCTTTTTTCCCCCTTTACTTTGAATCTATTCCATGTTTTACCATTAAATTACAGTACTTGTTGAGATGTTACCATTTTACTTTTCCCCCCCTTTGGGGATATTAAAAGCTCTCTGTTCGAGCTCTGTGTACTCCCATCCCCTCCCTTTCTCCATTGTTATCCTTTAATAAAAAATAAAATCTCAGTTTACAGTAAACACATTTTGTCATGCTTGCTTGAAGATCATATACATTCATTTTATACACATTTTGTCAGTCTTCTTGACAGTAATTCAATAATGGTATATAGTAGTGTGTTTGATCAAATTATTGCATGGAACTTTTAGTACCAAACATTGAAGTTATTATAAACATGCATTAAGCACAAAAAATATTGTACACAGAAGCACTCCCCATAAAACTAACATTTTCAGGCTTACCTTTTCAAAAGGCCATTGAAGTTCAAAACAGCATTACTATGAAGATTGAAGACTAATAAAAGCATGATGGATATGTGAATAGGCACCAGCTAGTTGCAGTTAGCATCCATTTTTGCCCTTCATGACATGATTGCTTCAAGAGCATCCTTGACATATTTGTACTTGAACTCAAAGCCCAACTCCTTGGCTCTCGCCGGTATCACCTTTTGCCCATCCAAAACCTACAGACACCATTGTTTATAGCACAAGAAAAGGGTCACGTGGTCGAATGGGTTGACATAAGCCACAGAGGAGAACAAGTTTAGCTGGTGCAAAAAGGGAGTGTTGGTGTTGCTGGTGTTGCTTACCACGGTGGCCCCTTCGCCGAGAATGGTTTTCAGAGCAAAATCTGGCACGGGAAGCCATGATGGCCGGCCTAAAACAGATCCCAAATGGCTGCACATCTCTCCCAGCCTTACTGGATTTGGTGCCGTTCCGTTAATGACTCCTATAAGGATCATTAACGCGGATGAGTAATACAACAAAAACAAACACCTTAAAATCCTCAGTAAGGTTCTGAAGTCTTACACCAGCATGAGTGATAATACAGAGTAATAAATATATGAAGCCAAAAGAAACTTCACTTTATTATTGCTAAGAAGTTTCAAATGTTTTAATCACCTTTGTATGATTGATTGGTTAGAGCTTCATATATGAGGTTCACCAGGTCATCAATATGAATCCATGAAAACCTGCATAACATACGATGAATTATAAAGTGGATTCTTGAAAAGTTTGGATCCATGGCATGTCTTAATTATAACCGTCCGATGTCAATTGGATGGCTCTGATGTGACTCGCAGGGAGTCGGAGTTCATTCTTTAAAGTGGATGGAATCAAGTGGTTTCCAAAATAATGCATACCACTGGTTTCCAGAACCAAGGGGTCCTCCAGCAAACATCATGAAAAGCGGGACCATTTTAGCTGCAAACCAGCAAAAGAACAGGGGCAATGATAACAACAAACAAGCCCAGTGAAATCCCATAGAAAGTAAGGTTTGAGGAGGGTGAATTTATGTAGCAGACCTTACCCCTACTCGGAAGTAGAGAGTCTGTTTCCAAGAGAACCCCGACTCAAAAGAACAGGTCAACGATCATCAACAACAAGGATCTATCTCTTTTCTTCCAACAGCTATCAATTTACAATAGTGTGCACTAAAACAACTGTATGATTCTTAGGAGGTATCTACTCTAAGGCCTTGTTTTGTTGGAGGGGAATAGATGAGACCACATAGTGTTGGGACATGTTAACTAAATCCACACTTGCAAATGCCTGAACGTGCATTCCAAAAAAACATGGAGTATTTGTAATAGAGTTTAAATACATGAAATCACACCTAGAGCGCCGCCGTCTTTTCCAAGGACTACACCGATCCGGATGAGAACTAACCTTACATCCTTATTGACATTACGGGCACTCGCTTCCCATTCTCTACATACCTGATAAATAGTTTGTATTTTTTAAAAAAGAACACGAATAGACGATAGTAACTAAGGAGGAAAGTTGTTTCCTCTTTCCACTTTTCTAGAATCAATTACCTCAGCCAAGTAATCATTTCCTGATGAACTTTTCTCATCAAAAGCTTGGGTGTCGCTGGTACCTATGATTTTAACTCTAAAATATCAGAAAACCAAAACATTAAATGCTGATTTTTTAGCTGGTAGTACATTATTCAGCCAGTGATACACAGAATAAGCAGAACAGTAACCTTTTGACTGAAATGGATGTAACCAAACACTTTGACAAAATTCAGCAGATTCAATCATTTCAGCCAAATGATCATTACCATATGAACCACTAAACCAAGCATAATTCAACCCTAGATGTACTAGAAAAATCCAATAGTTTAGAGTTCAGTGAGAAAGTGGGGTTGCATACCATAATAACCAACTGCTGTTGCACTAACCAAAACCTTAGGACAGTCTCCACCTTGTGAGTTGTTTATCAGATCTACAACCTACAGAGACATGGAGACTCCCCAGCTAAGACAACTCCAAAGTTAACTTATATATAGATCATGTATGTGATCTCTACTTCCGAGTAAGGGTAAAGTCTGCATTCACATTGATTTCATCCATTATTTACCCGAAGCTAAATATTTAAAGTACGACTATTTTAGCTCCATTGGCAATGGACTATAAATATCAAAAAGAAATTTAGAGCTTGAACCATTGTTTTATATTCCCCTATATTTTTGGTTCATCCAAATTTTCTTACATTTTCCTCCCTATTTTCTTCCACTAAAATTTATCAGGTTCCGAATGTACCATAAGCAAATTGAAAATCAAACCTTTGATGTAGTCTTGATCCTACTATCCTTAATTTCTTTCTTGATCTGCAGTAAGATATTAAAAAGGTCACATTAAATTCACAGAAAAACATCATATTTCACAGGCGAATCATGAATAACTAAACGGAGAAATGTTTTTGGCGCAATGTTATCCTTAAAAAAGCAACAGCACATACCTCTGGAGACCATCTTGTAGTTATCGGCATTCCAGCCAAATTCACAACAGCAGTAGAACCCTTAATGCATGTTTTCCACCGCGGCTCTTCTGCAATCACAATTCCTGGAAAGTCCTTCTCTGCACATTTAATAATAAAAAGAGGGAAATTAGAAAGCTAATTCTTACATTTATATATGATGGAAAAATGGTAAGGATACTAGACTTAGTAAGCTACCGAATAATAGCAACTGGCTCTAATACAAAGACTACCTTGAATAAATAAAAGACTATTATTAATAAAGTATTATTATTACTACTATGTTTAACAATGTAATCCGTATAATGCAGTGGAGGTGAAACTAGGTAGCAGTTTAAAATAATTATTACTCCCTCCGTCCCCCTGTATTTGTCCACTTTCATTTTTGCACACCATCCAATGCAATTCTTTAATCCATTTTATCTTATAATTTGTATATTAAAAAATTATAAAAATTATATATTAATAATCTATATGTTAAGACAAATCAAACAAGATCACACATGACTATATTTAGGCTTACACATTGAGAGAATTTGATGAGTCAAAGTGCTTAGATGAACAGTTCCAAAAGTCAAATGTGGACAAATACAGGGGGACGGAGGGAGTANTCCCCCTGTATTTGTCCACTTTCATTTTTGCACACCATCCAATGCAATTCTTTAATCCATTTTATCTTATAATTTGTATATTAAAAAATTATAAAAATTATATATTAATAATCTATATGTTAAGACAAATCAAACAAGATCACACATGACTATATTTAGGCTTACACATTGAGAGAATTTGATGAGTCAAAGTGCTTAGATGAACAGTTCCAAAAGTCAAATGTGGACAAATACAGGGGGACGGAGGGAGTACCTTCTTACCAGGGAAAATTGATTGAGCTTTTGATCTAGACCTGGTCAGCACACGGATTTGATGGTTATCTACACTTGAAAAGCAGGCCAAACAACATATTTATCTCATCAGTAAATTTGTGAAACGCAAGCTACTATTTTCCACAAACAAAACATTGTGAAATGAAAGTATCAATCATCCCCACCCTCATGCAATCTTTGCACCAATCTTTTACCAATAAACCCAGTAGCCCCAGTCACTGATATAATCATCTTGCAGCTTGCCTGAACAAAATTAAGCAGAGTGCATATTATCACAATGTACCCAAATGTGAAGGGATTAGTTAGGATAGTGCCAAGATTAGGATTCAGATAAGAATAAGTGAAAGATCATATTAAGGGGCGAACAATTACCTTCTGAGAAGGAACAGTATCGCCATTAAAACCCAGACACCAAACTCTGAATTTCTTGAACCCATTTTCCTGAAGAAGAAAAGAAACAATCGACCATAAATGGGAGTTTAGATGAAGTAATTTAAATAAATTCAAGTGCAATTTGCACCATCCAGTTAACTAACGCACAGGGAAGGATTGGGAGATGCGAGGAGGAGAAATGGAGGTTGTCCAAGACATGGGAGCTGCTGCTGCTGCTCTGCAAAACTCCATTGATTTTGATCCTTTGGCTCCTTCTTCAGTCCAGTTTAGTTGCCAAAGCAGAGGTCGGTGGCGATGGGCGAAGCTCCTCGTGGAAGAATGGGAGCCACATCCAACACATTGTGTCCACTTTCTTTCTTCTTCCTTTTTTGTTCAATTTATTCACACTTCCAAATTATATTACTCTGTATTTTTTAAATAATTTTTTTATAAAATATTTGATAAAATAAAATAGCAACATTATCGTAGACTTTTTTATATAAAGAAATTTAAAGTTTTACTCTTAAATTTTATGCTTATTTTTAAATAGACTGAGATAAAAATAGTTTCAATCAAATACATTTTTTTTAAAATGTGAGATAGAAAGGATACACAAAACTCGGATGAAAAATCTTGGTATGCATAAAAGCAATGATTTTGAAAAATGGTCACAAATATATATGTTTAAAATTTTAATTTTCTTTTCCAAAAAAAAAAAATTAAACATTTTTTCATGAATTAGTTCAACAATTGTAATAACAGACACCAGAAACAGAGTTTAGGTGTATATACACTACACACACCTGTTACTTCCAGTAGAGAGTTTGTTTCCACAAAACTCAAACCAAATACAAATATCATGATTTAGTTCAGCAAAATCAAATTCTCTCTATTACACATTAAATACACCATAAACGAGAGAAGAAAAAAAATAGTGTCCACTACATAATAACATAGTCTCCTACTATACTTTAAGCTACACCAACCTAAACAATGCTCAAATATTGAAGCATTAACCATACCAAGTTAAAAGTTAATGATGTTATCCTTCCCTCCCTCCCATATCTTCCAAAAAAATGGGAAGATTTCATCTCTTATGGATGTTTTCAGAACACAGGCAACACAGGCAGACCCTTCTTCCTTCCTCCTCCATCAAACAGTCCTGTGATTGAATGAAGACGCGGCGGTGTTTCTCCAGCCAAAGGATCTCCGGCGGCAGTACATGAGAGGAGGGGTGAAGTTAAGCCCACACATCTCCCTTAAAGCAGCCTCTCCTTCCCCTGAGAAACCGATGAGCTTGGCAACAACTGCCGCGCTCTCTCTTGCGTGATTCACGTTGGTTTCGCTCCAAATTTGCCTGGCAAGATTTTGCCTCCTTTGTTTGGAGTCCAATGCAATCCCCCATTTCTGGTATGTCTCGTTTCTTTCTTCTCCGGTTAACCTTTTGTGGATAAGCCTACGCAGCATCCCTCTCTCCTGGCGAAGTTCTCTGATGCTGCCATTCCAAACAAACAAAAAATCATTGTGTGCAAATAGACGTGTGGCTAGAGAAAGAGGTAAACCTAAGAAGACTTGGAAAGAACTGGTCAAAGGGGACCTTCGTGTGAATGGTCTCATATCAGATATCAGATATGAGGGGCAATGGCGTCATTTGATCCATGTAGCCGACCCCACCTAGTGGGATCAGGCTTTGTTGTTGTTGTGTGAAACACTAGTGGTGTCATATTAGCATGATCCATTTAAAAAAGGAAAAGGGAAAGGATGGTACCTTGATGAAATGGAGTGTGTTTTGCCACCTTGGATGACCATGTTTCCCTGGGAGAAAGATTCCTTGAGGAAGGAGAGCCTTCGGACCTCTACTTCCATGTAAATGGAGTCGGTCGGGTCACCTTTAAACAGCAGGAAGAAATATGTCCTGTGGATGAGTGATACATTGCACGTCTGCCAAAGCTCAATAATCCTTTTCTGCATCCTTTCGTACTCGACACCCCAATCCGATACTTCCTTTACATTCCTTGGTGACCGGTTATCCTCTCCTTCTTCAACCTTTGTATGGAGTAAAAGTGATAGTATATAGTAGTGTCAACACTTTTTCATTTTCAAAAGCATAAAAATTGGGATTGGGTTCTAAGCCATCTAAGCAGACAGTTACTAACACTATGTTTGGTTCAAGAAATTTGGAAGGAAAAAAAAAATGTTTTTCTCATTTTCCTCGTCAAAATGAGAGTTTTCCCTCCTCTTAGTACATTTTGTCTTCTTATTTCTTTTCATTCCACTTTTCTCTTCTTTTCCTCTCTAACTAAATAAGAAAAAGGTTTTCCATCTCATTTCTTTTCGTCTCTTTCAAATTCCTTGAACCAAACATAGCGTGAGCCTTAAGGGGAAATGAAATAATCCACACCTGGTGAAGCTTAGCCATTTCCTTCAGCCCAGCAACGAAAGTGTCGACACTTGGGATTCCCTCGTCATCGACATTAACACTGCTTCTGCTGGTGACATCTTCTACTATGACAGCAGTAGAATTGGAAGATGGTGAATCGCTTCTTGATAGCTTAGCATTGCTTGCATCAGAACTTACAGTATGAAGGTTCCATTGTTTCCTTTGAAAACCTTCAGGTCTTCCCATGGAGTCTTTCTCCAACCAACCACCGTTGGCTGGCTCACATTGTCCAAACAAATCTGATATAACATTGGTTTCGCAGCTTCTGCTTCCATTCATCTTCACTCTTCTGGAATCCTTCACACTACTGCTGCTACTGCTTGAGAAGGCAAACTTGTCAGAGTTTCTTACAAGACTTACTTTAATATGTGAGGTTGGTGATGCTACTACAGGATCATTAGTACATTGTCCATCATCATGGGACACTGGAACTATTGGACTCTTCTCATTGTTAGGTGACTCGTCCGTTTCAATACAGTGGAAATCCTTAAAGTCCTCGCCGGGTTCACCTTTTTCTCCAATTGTCAGTTCATTTCTCTGTTGGTGATGAGATGTTGCAGAGTTGACTCCATTTGCTGAACATTCATCCTCACATGTGGAGTCTTCAATGGGTTTAGAAGAACTGCATTCCAGCTGTAACACAGAGAATTAAAAGGATAAATCAGATACTTGAGCTATTTTTCAAAAACAAAAAGAACAAGTATAAAACAAACCGTTTTGCTTGAATCTTGATCACTTTCATTCATCTGCAGCAAATCCTTAACCCGTGATTGAGCCAAATCGCGCTGTTTTTTTAATTCTTTAATCTCTTTATCCAGCTACAGTAGAAATGACACAGACTAAGATGTCAATGATCAATCTATGAACCCAAAACAGACTGAAAATGACATTTGGTTTGCGTTTTCCGAGTTCCAAAAGGACCATAAAAATGAAAAAAGCACGGAAAAGGACCTTATCAATCAGCATATCTTTCTTCCTCAACAAAGCCAGATGATCACAACATGTTCCGGGAGGAGTTCGCAGCTCAGTCTCTAATCTAGCAACCTCTCTTTGTAAGTGCTTCACCAAGGCCTTGTCAGACATCATGACATTGACTTTTGCATTAGTGGTCACTTCCTTAGCACAACAAGCAAACAAGAGAGTGTTCCGCGATTGTTCAACATGACACCTTGCTGGGCTCAAGTTGCATATTATAGCAGTTCTAGCATTTCCACCCAATGCAGGCTGCAGAATACGTGTCAGCTTTGAATCTCTATAGTTTATGTGTCCCTGTCTCCCCCTACTATTAAAAGAAAAACCCAAAAAAAAGTAAATAAATAAATAATCTCGTCGAGGAGAATTTCTTCTAAAAAAACTCAACTCAACTCCTTCTATGATTATATCCTCTCCCTCTATGATCTTTCAACTCAACATAGTTTAGATGAAGGTGGTGATGAGTAAAGAGAAGAGGAACAACCTTAACTTGCGAATGACAGTTCCAAGAGTAAGTAAACTACGGTTAATGTGACAGCCTTCCTTTAGCCTTTGGCCAACAGACAATGCCTGAGATGCCCGCTCGCTTCCAGCAAGATCAACAAAGTTCTGCATTTATAAGTTACTAAGTTATTCACATAAGCTTTCCATACCTTTGGCTCATTTACAAGTTAACAATCCTATGAAGCTTTCCATAGCTTTATCGGGGACTAAAAAAAGTTATCTGTAGCAAACCAATATTCACATACCACACTAGCAGATAGGGTTGCTTTCTTGTCCTTTCCTATGAACTCACGAGCGGAGCTTTCAATTGTCTGAGGAACAGCCAACCAAGACCCACAATAACAATTCATTAATTAGTTCAAATAGAATATCAAGATTCAAGTAAATAAGAATTGTTCATGTAGAAATACAAAGCACATTCATACCAATCTGAGAATTTGATGAGATCTGGAGCTTGTCTCATTCAGGTGAGTCTCCCCAATTTGCCTTTGAGCTGCAAGACCCGATAAGAGCATGTTTAGGCTAGAATGCGAAATAGCAAGCAGTAGAATAAGGCTTTTCTTTAGTGGGTCGTGCTACCGTGAACCCAAGTTTGACACCATTAATGACATCACAGACAGGTACCATTGTTTGTGCATGTCTGACACAATGGTGTCATCAATGATGTCAAATCTTGGTATTAAAATTGCATTTTCCTTATTTATATACCATGTACCTTCACAGATGGATAAGAGTTCCTTGAGATGACTCCAATCCCTCAGAGTTTCTTCCGTGATTTTCTCAACGATAGTCCCTTTCTAGCAAACCAGAAATCATCATCAGAAGAGGAATACATGTGATCAAATATAATCACAGATGAGAAGAATGAAGCAAAGATGGGTAGAGCTAGTCTCTCTCACCTCTGGATCATCAAGCAATCTTAGGGGAGAATTGTCTGAGCTAAGGAGGTCTCGAACAACTTCATTGTAAATTTCGATTGCAGAAAACTTCAAAACAAATGCTCTTTCTTCATGCTGGTGAAGAAAACATCATCATCATCATCATCATTATCACTATAAACACATTCTTGGGCCTTCAACCACAAGCTTGAACTATTGGTTGAATTGTTCCCTTAACAAACAATACTTGTTTCTCAACAATAGAATTGAACACTGTGATCCCTCACTTAAAATCCTTAAGATGATAATTGGACTTGACATTTATATCTCAACAATGAACTCTAACTTGCCTTCTGAATGTAATCATATATATCTGGCACAGCATACTCCGTGATTCCATTCATGGTGTACGTCTTTCCACTGCTAGTTTGTCCATACGCAAAAATAGTTGCTGGATTGAAATGAACCAAAAAAAGTCATCAAAGGGCATATTCGGAAGTAGGTAATCATTTGGAGTGGATGAAGGCAGGCAAAGTTTAAAGGAGAACTCACAATTGACACCACCGACAACAGAAAGCGCAATCTCTTTTGTTCCTGCCTCATACACTTCTCTAGTAGAGCAGTCGCCCCTGAATACTCCATCTACGTCACAAAAACAAACCATAGCAAAAGGGAAACATC